TGGCTTAAAGAACAAAAATATCCAAATAAAGGTCACAGAAATGTAAAAAGTGAGACCCTAGGACCTTCAGTATTCCCGTTTTCTTGGCCTGGCTTGCTGTGGCTAACACAGGGCAGTGCATGATGGAAACAAGGAGGAAGGACTGAACAAGTCTTTACCCAGATGCAGCTACTTAGATCTGGGCAAGCAGCTCACACTCCCCATGTGGAAGGTCAGGAAACACCAAGTTCTTGAGCTGCATAACATGCCAAGACAGGATCCATTCCAATCCCTTCCCCTCAAGCTTTCAACATCATCTTCCTAATTCTTACCTCTTTCTGGACAGTCTATGCTGCCTCTTAGGTGGGAAAGTTCCATTTCATCATACAAAAGACTGGATTCAAACTAAGAGAGAGAGAGACCTGCGCTGCTTTGGCAAACTTCAGTTTTTATCATTTCCAAACATGCTGACATGCTGAGAAAAAGACGTGGTGAGATACTGTGGTCACTTCAGTGACAAAGTTATTAAAGATGTATTCATGGAAGGCATCTTGTAGGAAGGTGCTGATAACACTGGAGAATTGAAAGGGTAGGGCATGAAATGTAACACTTCCTAAATGTCACAGGTTCTTCGTAGTGCTGAATCTGACAGTCAGTGTTTTTTTGGGTTTGTCTTTTTTTTTTTTTTAAGTTGGTTTGAGCAAACATGTATATGTGGATACAGACTTTCTAAGAGTAGGAGTCACTTCTATCTTCAACCCAAACCTTGGGGGTTGTTGTCATTACCTAGTTCAATCAAAATTTCTATTTTGGGGTACCCGCTTGGCTTAGTCGGTGGAGTGAGTTACTTTCCTGGTCTCAGGATTTTAAGTTTGAGCCCCACAATGTGTGTAGAGATTACTTTTAAAATAAAATCTTTATTTAGTTATTTATTTAATCTATTTTTTTTTAATTGGTCTCTACACCTAACACGGGTCTCAAACTCACAACCCTGAGATCAAGAGCCTCTTGCTCTTCCGACTGAGCCAGTCAGGCGCCCTCAAAACAAAATCTTTAAAAAAATTTTTCTCTTTTAGAGTAAATGAAACAAGTTGGGATTGGGAGGGAGACAAACCATAAGTGACTCTTAATCTCACAAAACAAACTGAGGGTTGCTGGGCAGAGGGGGGTTGGGGGGGGTTATGGACATTGGGTAGGGTATGTGCTATGGTGAGTGCTGTGAAGTTTGTAAACGTGGAGATTCACAGACCTGTACCCCTGGGGGAAAAATATATATATATATATATGTTTATAAAAAATAAAATTATAAAAAAAAAAAAAATTTTTCTCTTTTAACAGTTCATGGACCTGACAGCTACTTTCCAGCTACTTTCCACTAGAGCCATTTGTTAGACATCTGGTGCGGTGACCAGCGGTCCCAATTTGCCCAGGACTAGCCCAGTTTTAGCACCAAAAGTTCTGTGTCCTTGTAAACCTCCAGTCTTGGACAAATCAGGATGGTTTGTTGCTTATTGCTAGTCCTAGGTTTGGTCTTCAGGTCTGCATTGTTGGAATGTCTAAACGTGGATAGAGAGGGGATTTGCTACAAAAATAGCTGAAAATCTCCAGCAAAAATTTCCAGCAACATTCTACTCTAGAAATGATTTTCAAAAAATAACCCAGTGGTCTATTTCACTCATGAGGCAAGAAATGGTTTCTTACTTTGTGGGGATGACCTACCTGATATATGATGGAAATTAAACCATACTTTGAAATTAGCTATAATAAATACCACTACAGTGAGGTTCTAATATATTATGTTATTTTTTCCTCCAATTTCTACATTTTAGAGCCTAATAAATATAGCATAATATGACAGGCAGACATAACAGCATGAAATAAAAATCTCCCATTTCTTTGGTACTATTCAAAGACCTTGGAACCTGCACATTGTGGGCAAACACCCCAGAGTTAGAAGAACTCCAAAATCAGCATGCTCTCCAGAGGCCACACCCATAGTACCAAAAGGTCTGGCCAAGAAAGAAGCTGTGGGACTTCAACCTGTCCACCAGATCCAATGCCAGATACTCCAAGAAAAGCAAAAGCCTTCAGGGCCTATATCTATAAACAGGATTTACAGAGTCAAGACAGGAACTTGCTTCAGCAATCTGGGAACCCTAACCCTGTTTCACACCTCACAATGAAATGTTAGATACTCCTACCTCTGGTACCTGAGGCCTTTCTGCTTTTCTGAACAACTAATCTCTTTCACTTTGTAGCAGACAGAATAGCCCCCAAATAAGTCCATGTCCTAATCTCTGGAACCTGTGAATGTGTAACATTCACAAGGGAAAAGGGACTTTGAATTAAGGACTTTCAGAAGGGAAGAGTATCCCAGATTATTCAGGTGGGCCAAATCTTATCACATGGGGACTTAAAATCAAAGAAGAGTTCAGAGTTAAGAGATGTAGATAGAGTAGAAGACAGAGAGGCAATGCTATTGGCTTGGAAGACAGAGGAAGGTAAACTCTAGAATTCTCTCCTAGAGCCTGCAGAAGGAAAGGGAGCTCTGTTATACTTTGCTTTAAGCCCAGTGAGATCCCTCCAGAACCAAACCTACAGAACAGTAATTTTTATTGCTTTTGAGTCACCAAGTTTGTGATAATTTGTTACGTCAGCAAACAAGAATATATCCTTCATCATTGCTGCTTTTCAATTTTCATGATGCTTTAGTAGTATTTTGCTCTAAACCCCAATATTAAACCCAGTGTTTAATTTAATTCTCTATATAGACTTAAAAAAACAGATTTGGTACTAGAGCAAATTTGCTCAAAATCCCTCCAGTAGCGCAAAACACCATTTTTCTTTACATGTCTACTTCGTTTTGTTTCTTTCTTTAGTTTGTTAGCACATGACCACTTGTATAAGGAACCACTGAGCACAAGTGAAATCTGTAATTTTGCATGGAGCAAAAATGCTAGAGAATGGAAAATGACAACCCCTCTAAAGTTGTGTGCAAAGACACAGTAGTCCTCAATGTCTCCTTAGGGTGCTCTGGATATCACAATGACTGGAAGATGCCATCGGCCTTTTGTGAGCCAAGAACAGGAATACCAAAGAGTACAAGGAAGAATTGTCCCAGCAACTCCCATGGAGCAAGTCTGCCTGGACTGTCCAGGCAATTTAAGTCCATTCATTAGCATGAAAGAAATCAACACAAACATCAGACAGAGAACATCAAATACTTATATAAGACCATCTTCATTATTAGTGATATAGTAGTCCCCACTCATCCGAGGTTTAGCTTTCTGCAGTTTCAGTGGCCCTTGGTCACCTGCGAGGAAGCAGGTGATCCCCGGCCTAATGTTTTGCCACAATGCCTATGTCATTCCCTTCATTTCCTCTCCCATGTAGGCATTGTATCATCACGTGTCATCACAAGAAGGGTGAGCACAATACAGTAAGATATTTTGAAAGCCCACAGTCACATAACTTTTAATATAGTATATTGCTATAAATGTTCTATTTTATTACTGTTGTTCATCTCTTACTGTGCCTAATTTATAATTAAATTTTATCATATGTGTGTGTGTGTGTGTGTGTATGAGGAAGCACAGAATACATACAGTTCAGTACTCGTGCAATTTCAGGCAACCACTGGGGGGACTTGGAACATATCCCCCACAAACAAAGGGGGATTACTATATTTGGTAGAATGTAAGGATGGCTCTGTACTCATTTGTAAGATACTAAGTACTTAAATCCAAAAGAACCTCACTATGGGGTAGCTATATATGGTATTTAAAGCACACTCACACAGGCCTTTCTTCTAATAAGCTCTAGACCAGAGGTTCCTTTTTTTCCCCCCTAAAGATTTACTTATTTACTTGAGAGAGAGAGAGAAAGGGGGGGAGGGGCAAAGGGAGAGAAGCTTCAAGCAGACTCCCCGCTAAGTGTGGAGCCCGACTCAGGTCTCGATCTCACAACCTATGAGATCATGACCTGAGCAGAAACCAATAGTTGGATGCTCAACTGTCTGGGCCACCCAGGTGCCCATCTACACCAGAGATTCTAAATTTCTAATACTAGCAAATACTCAAAACTTGCTGAATAAATACATGATAAAAGACTAGCTAGTAATTAAATCAGGTTATAGGGAGGTAGGATTTTTTATTAGCACTCTTCTGTAATCACTAAATAGTTATGTAAATAAACAATTAAAAATCCAACAACCAAATTCAAACAACTGATGTATAGTCCAGTGGGGGAAAGAAGAGAAATAGGTGTGGGATAAACGAAAAATACTGGCCATGAGTTGACAGTTGTGGAAATTGAGTGATGGGGATGTGGAAGTCCATGATATTATTCTATTTTGGAAAAAGCTTGAAATTTTTCCTAATGAGGTTAATTAAATTTTAAAATAGGAGGAAAATCCATGTCGCTGACTATAGGTCAGGGAGGGCAAACACATTATCACCTGTCTGGGCAATGTGAGGACCTTTCAAGTCTACAACCAGATTCAGACGGCTTTAGCTCTTTTCAAAAGCCAAGTCAGCTTCTTTAAGAAGAAAGCCCTACAGCATCAGATTGACCTTTTGTTATTGTTTGTTGCTGCTGGAAAAGCCATGACAATGTCTATAACCAATCTGTTAAGAACAGGGCTTACCCTTCTCTGATCTAATCTACTATGATGTCTGTCTTGCACAGGGTATGTCTTCAATAGCCGCAACCGATCAATCAGGTTTGGAGCCATAGGAATACATTTTCAGGCTGTGACCTCAAGGCTCTCCAACTCAGGTTTTTAGAAGAAAATGGGAAAATCTGGGCAAGACATCTGATTTTAACTATTATCAAGGGTAGCTGCTTTTTTCTTAAATCCTGAAGTCCTGCTAATTTTGCGAAAGCCTCTATGCATATTTCTTATTGATAAAAATCACACGTTAAATGCATTCGTCTACAGGATCAGTTAGGATATTTTTTTCTGCTTCAAGTTCTGGTTAGATTCAAGAAGATCCTGGGAGAAAATATTCCTTATTTCTTACCTCTTCAGTTCCCAAAGCCTGAGGCTCACTGGCGGATCTGGGCTGTTGAGAAAGCAGAGAGGAAAATGAATGCTTCTTGTTTTTTCCTTAATAAAAAGGAAAAATACCATGATACATAAGAGCTGAATAAGCAAATGAGTGTTTCCGTAAATAGAGTTTGGTGGTAATGGCTGAATAGCTCTAAGGGCAGAGGGTCTCAGAGGCTTGCATTTCTGAGCCAGGACACAAACACTGTGTTAACTCTTTTTCTTTTAAGAAGCAGATGTGGGGCGCCTGGGTGGCTCAGTGCGTTAAGGCCTCTGCCTTCGGCTCAGGTCATGATCACAGGGTCCTGGGATCGAGCCCCGCATCGGGCTCTTTGCTCAGCAGGGAGCCTGCTTCCTCCTCTCTTTCCTCTCTCTACCTGCCTCTCTGCCTACTTGTGATCTCTGTCTGTCAAATAAATAAATAAATAAATAAATAAATAAGAAGCAGATGTGAAAAAAAAAAATCTCTTTGTGAACTTCCCTGGCCTGTCAGAAAACATGAAACATAAAGTAGGCCTGGAACCTAAGGGAACCAGAGTTCTTGGTGACAGAGATGCCTGAGTGAGATGACTAAGAAGTTTTCTTCCCTGAACTAACCTGATTTGCTCCCAACAGGACCAAAGGGGCAGAGGCAGAACACGTTCTTGTTCCAGGAGCTATGAACAGAGCTGGATTTCCACTTGTGTGTATCCAGCCCTTTGAGAGGGTAGATCTGGACAACTTGGGAATTATAAAAGCATCTTTAGTGTCTAACATTGTGTAGGTTGTTTAGAAGCAGAGACACGGACACCCCGGCCACGTGACTTTGGAGAATGTTGAGTGAAATTCACTTTGGGTCCTAGAACCAAAGGAATATCCATGTCTATAAAGATCTTCTGTGACTTCAGACTGCCAGGTGTGCTGGAGTCTCAGCCCAACCAATTAAATTCCCAGATGACCGGAAGGGATCATATGTTTTAAAATGAGCCAAAGTTATTAGGAAAGCATTATCTCATGATTAATGACAGCAAAGCAAAATAAAAAAGCCCAGGGCCAAAACCAATCTGTTTCCAGAGAATGAACCCTTGGGATAACAATGATTAGTGGGGCTTGCGAAAGAAGGCTGTCCAAGGGGAGTCGGGGCCCAGCGTTCTTGGTGCCAACAGCCTCCCAGGGAAATAGTTTGACTCTTTCATCAAGATCCTCAAATACATTCTCAATCATTGTCTTAGTGATAGCACTCCTTGACTTTATTAAAAAAAAAAAAAAAATCCAAAAGGTAGACAAAGAATTTTTGCCAAGGTATTAGAAATAGCCTAAATACAAGTAATATAATTTATTAAGTAAAACAAAAACTCTACATGATGGACCTTTGAAACAATAGACACAAAACCTTAAATGATGAGGAAAAATACACACGATATAAAGTAATGTGAAAAAGTACAAAATTATATATAGTGTGACCTCAGTATATTTTCTAAGATATATTTTTCAAATACACTTTATATTTTCACATATAATATTCTTCTAATATATCACAAATAATATCTTCTAGTAAATGCTATAATCTTTCTGGAAAATGTTATAATCAATCTGGAAAATGATTGGAAGAAGGCACATCAAAATGTAAACAGCATATTGCTCCTTCTATCCTATAGGGATAATGGAAGTAGCAGGAATTGCTAGATATGGCCAGTATCTGCTCTGCTCTTCTAGGTTTATAATAGATTTTTAAGGTACGAATCCTACGTGTCAAGGATATCTACTTTTCCCAGCCTCCATTTCTTCAAAGTGTGTGGCTATGAGACAAAGTTCAGTGGGACCGCTGCAAAAATGATTTGTGCAACTTCTGGGCCATGCCCTCGCCTTTCCAACGTTCTCCCTTCCTGGTGGTCATAAGTGGATCCTTAGGGCAAGCCACTTCAGATCAAAAAGCAAGAGAAACATGTTCAAACGATGGACTAACAGGATAGAAAAAGCCGAGGTCCCTGGATGATCCTGGGGAACAGAGCTATGTTTCCAGCCCTGGACCCACCCACCTCTGGGTTATTAAGTGAAAGAGAAAGAACTTCTGTCGCCCCACTGTGAAATTAAGCCTGTTACATGCAGTTCAACGAACCTAATCAACAGAGGGGATCATTTCTTTATAATTGAAGTATTTTCCAAATTTTCAATAATCACCATGAATTACTTTACCAGAAAAAAAAATTTAAGTTAAGCATGGTTTAGTAATTTTAAGAAAATTAAGATAGCAGAGAATAGAGTTCGAGCAGCACTGCCTTCTGTATATATATGAGAGAAAAAATGAAATCTACAATTTCAAGAAGTAGTTATTATATCTTCTCAAGGGCATAAATCACATACCAACTCCCTGAGTTTGTATGACCTTTTCATCACACTTCATGACACTTTATTTCAAGGCTTCTGAAAAATAGTTTTAATACAGAAAAGTTCTTTAGCTTTAAATAAAATCTGCTTTAATATCTGCTCGAGGACTACTCTCAAAAAAATAAAACTCTAGTCAACATATTAAAATTTTCCATTGAAGAGGATACCTAGACCTCTTAAAGTAAAGTTAGAAACATTTAAAAACAGCTTCATGTGCACTAACTCATATCTTTAATTTAAGGCTATTGTTTGTCCCTCAGATAGAATCATAATGACTCACTCCTACTGTTAAGTCCAGTGGCCCAATAACTCTGTTGATTAACCTCAAACAAACTTTTTTCTTTTTTTTTTTTTTTAGATTTTACTTATTTGACACAGAGAGAGGGAGGGAACACAAGCAGGGAGAGTGGAAGAGGGAGAAGCAGACTCTCCACTGAGCAGGAAGCCCGATCCGAGGCTCGATCCCAGGACCCTGGGATCATGACCTGAGCCGAATGATGACACTTAACGACTGAGCCACCCAGGTAACCCCCTCAAACAAACGTTATATTTTGATTTTACTTTCTTCTGGAATGGTGACCGATCTGTCAGAGCTCACAGAACTTCCCTCATCTGGGCCTGTATTATAAGAAGACTGTCCAAGATAAAAAAGTCACATCTACTCCATAAATTAAAGAAACCTCGTTTCCTTGGGGATCAGCTCTGAAACCAGTGTCTACCCATAATAGAATAACACACTTTATTTTTTTTTTTAAGAATTTATTTAGTTATTTGACAGAGAGAGATCACAAGTAGGCAGAGAGGCAGAGAGAGAAGGGGGGAAGCAGAGCAGAGAGCCTGATACAGGGCTCGATCCCAGGACCCTGAGACCATGACCTGAGCCAAAGGCAGAGGCTTAACCCACTGAGCCACCCAGGTGCCCCTAAAATAACACACTTCATAACAGATCCCTTAATCCACTATAACATTTTGCCAGTGGTATCTGGTGCCTTTTAGAAGATCATTAGAGCCCTGTGGACCTACACACAAGACACTTCCCTATGTAGACCTTAGAGACTTACATATAATTATACATCAGATAAAGCACCTACTTCCCCCTGCCTTCTCCCCAAGAGAACACCAAATGGTCCTTTTCTCTCCTGTGAATCACGACACCCGACACTAATATGGCTAACTTATATTCAATAACAAAGGCAGGATGCCAGAGTTTCCTCACTTCCCTCTTAGGATGACTATGCCAGTACGTTTTCAAGAACCCCCTAAACTCTCTCTTGCAACAGGCAAATAGAAGCTCATAGTCCAAGCTCTGAATTCTCAGTTCCTCTCCCCCACTTCTCTTGACAGGAACATAAGCAAGCCAACTCAACAGGCCTAATTACCATGGTAACAACATGCACTGTGATTATGAGTGTGTTTGTTTTTCAAAATGACTCACAGATTGTTCTCCCAGAAGCCCCAGACACACCGATTTCTGGGTGGTTTATAAAAGCTATTCAAAGTTTTCTTGCAAATTTCTTGCCCCTATTAGCATAACTGCTGTGATGGAGAGAGATTCATCAAATCAAATATGCCCTTCTCCTTGAGGATGACAAAAAACCCCACTTGGTTCCTTAACCGCTCCAAGATTAATCAATTTAAAACTTGGGTTAATAATGAAATTAATTTGAGTTTGTACACTGGAGATAATTAATCTGTCCCTAATTTAAATAATTAAGGTATTTCATAATGTTTTAGAGACCCAAATGAAATAATCAAGTGAAATAAAAGCGGCAGTGAAAAATATCAAATAAAATAGCCTAAATCTGTGGGCACACAGTCAGCTACATGCGAAGTGTTACAAAAGAAGAGAAGTAAGTTTTAGTACCAAGATGTTTTTAAACCAATGTCCAAAATAAAAACATTAAACATGGGGGTGCCTGGGTGGTACAGTTAGCTGAGGGTCCCACTCTTGGTTTTGGCTCAGGTCATGATCTGATGGGTCATGAACTGGAGCCCCTCAGCGTGGAATCCGTGTGGGATTCTCTCTCTCCCTCTGCCCCTCCACACTGCACACAGGCATGCACACATGCTCTCTAATAAATAAATAAATCTTTAAAAGTGCAAACATGAAAGAGTCGAGACATTTGGAAAAACTGTGGACTGCTTCCATTCATTTATACAACACGCATTATTTAAGACCTTCTATGTAGCAAGTATCATTGTTTATAACCGGAACAGGGCCACAGGGCTTAGGAATCCTAGACCATTTTCTTATCAGAGACAAAGGCCATGGGTGTGGCTTAGTCTGTTATCTTGGAAAGATTCTTTGTTTCATAAGGCATCATTCTAGGTAACCTCTCAATGAAAGGGACCATTTTCCAATGACAGCACTGAGCCTAGAACTCAAGAGTCCTGACTTGGGCAAGATGGTTGACTCGCTCTTAAAAAAAAAAAAAAATGTTGGTAATTTTGGTAGGTCAGTTTTCCTCCACATGAATTGGATATAAACCTTACTTTAAAAAAATTGTAAATGGAAACTTAAATCTGTTTAACTTAAAACTCTATCTCCTGATGCTTACATAGAACACAACACATAACACACACACACACACACACACAATAGTTGTTAGAAATTACGGTTTCCCAATGGCTACATATTTTATGTACTGT